GCCTGATATACTTGAAGAATTGGCTCGGAAGATGAATTTTTCGGGCAAGTTTGAAGTCTCCAATGTCTTTGCAAGGTGCGCTGAGATGTTGAAGAGGAGAGTAAGGGGAAGAGATCCAATCTAACCGGATGGACAATGCGCTTAATTGACTCAGGTTATTACTCATAATTCAGTAAGTTTGCGTAGTATTCACTTGATATTGAAGAGCAATTCAATTATTACACGATCAAAATTATCGAATTACTACACAAAGTTATTGAATTACTAGGAAGCAGGAAATAGAGAGGCATGGTAGATATTCTTTGAAAAAATTACCTTGGATTTGAGTGTTGTACAATCTGTATTTCTTATTCTATATGTATATTTTAAAGTAGTTCTATCTGTTAACTTCTGTTTTCATGGCTGAATTAGCTGAACTAATGTTATGTGATTCTTTGGCCACTTATATTTTCTTCTCATTAATTGGAAGAATCAATTAGTGTATATATATGTATAAGGACTGAATATATTTGATTTCATACAACAAAATTAAATGTTGAATATTTTATTTTGTTGGTGAAGTAGGGTTCAAATAAATTTTTTTAATCAAAATTCATATATTTATCAATCAAAATTCATATATTTAACAATAACACAATAAAAATGTAATTTTTAAAGGAGGACATACAAAAATACAGTTTAATTCAGACAGAAATATTTGATAAGAGATAAATAACACAGAAAAAATTAACACCTTTGAGAGGGATGACGGGTTAGCGGGTAATGAAATGGACCGTACCCGATAAGTAGGTCGGGCTAAATTTGGCCCAATTAGAATTCGTTCCTTTTGACGCAGATCAAGCATGACCCAAGTTTAATATAAATCTGGCCCAATTAAAAATAAAATATTCATTGTAATGGAAATGCATATAACTGCTAAAAGTATTTCATTATATATTAAAGTTTTAAATATTTTTAAAATTATTTAGGCCAAATCTTTGTCTACACTCAAACTGGATAACTTGCTTATATCCAACCCAAGGTTTAATAGTGTTCATTAAACTTTATTTTACCTACATCAAACTATTTTTTTAAAAAATAAATTTCAATTAAACCTTTAAATAAAATAATATTTTAAAATAAATAAATAATAAAAAATGTTTTGTATTATATAAACTAATACCTAAAATAAAAATTAATTAAAATTTAGTGAAATATTTATTTTTAGTTCAAAATAAACTCAACTAAAATCTAAACTCTTAAAAATTTAATGTGAAGACCTGGATGATACTATTCATTTTGTTTAGTATGAGTTTGAGTTAACATAATTTTTTTTCTATTTGGATAGAATAATGAACACTTTTTTTTTTTGTTTTTCAAAAAAATTAAGTTGGATTTGTAACATATTGTGATTATTCCAATAAAAGAATTTAATCATATCAAAATATTCTTTTCATTTAGAACGTAAAAGACTTGTGAGATTTAGTCGAAGTTGATCATCACAACTCTACTAACACACC